CTTCTTCATTCCCGTTAGGATCTCTAAAAGAGTCCCTGATCATGGGGTGCTTCGGTGGAGCAGGTATAAAGGTGGACGATAAAAAGGAGAGGGAAGCTCGGAGAAGGAATAAGAAGATCGAAACTAATCTCCTGAAGGATGCGAAGATCTTCAAGTCCACTCCTCGCCTCCTTCTCCTAGGTGAGAATCTTTTCATCGAAGCTTGCCAACGTGCATTTGGGCATTCAGAAAATGCATTCTCGACTACGTAGCCGGCAGACGATATTCAGCTCGAGCAAAACTGACTGTTCATGCTGCTTTTGAACCTTTTTCTATTCGTGCCCATCTGCGGGCCGATTCTCACTCTGGCAGGTTGAAAATAGCTTTCACCCAGCTGGAGCTAAGCAGAACGTGAAAGAAGCTCGCCTACTAGTTTCTCTTGAATCTACCGCGTCAGAATCTTAAGGTGGATTTTTGAACAGAGAACTATCCGATAATGCAGCTTTATATACCGGATTTACAATGCATTTTCTCTGAAATAAAGCAGTATTATCGGATAATGCTCTGTTAAAAAATCCACTCTTAGAGTTCATTTCCTTTAATTTTTTTCCCCCAATGGGCTGCAGCCTTGATAAAACCCTAATAGGGATTCTTTGTTTTCGAAATTGTTAGGATTGTTTGATTGCAATCACATGCTGGTGAGCAATAAAGGTTTCCAGCAGACTGTGGGAATCTCTACGGAGAGCAACTATTTAACCGATACGGCTACTTTTTTTCTTTTCTTGTGTGAAAACACACGAACAGAACAACTTCAACCCGTGCTCTCAGATTTTCCTTCCAGTTGGACTGCATGCAGTTTGAATAAACAAGCTCGTCCCAACTTAATTTTGCACGTTATCTCGGTTTTCACCTTGAAATTGCAGGTTTCTACATTTCCTCTGGTATTTATGATAAAAGGAGGGACTTTCACTCTTAAATTTTCGATATGCCAAAGTTGAACATCTCCAAGCACATTTTAAAAAATGTAATAAAATCTCAACCGAATATGTGCCTTCAAATCTTTAGTAGCCGTCTCGATTTGGTTTTTAAAAACTAATTGCTGCTTTACCAACTTGAATCTTGAAGATTTGCTGACTGGTTTCTGAGGAAGCAGTTTTAGCTCGTTGGAAAGACCACAATTTCCTATTTCCAGTAGGAGCATTGCAAAACTGTGTGCTTTAATGGCCATGTTTCTTTTACAAATGCATGAAATGTTATATTTTCATCAAACAATAGTAGTTTTTCTTGGAGATATTTCAAGTACAGTTGGTTAATTGGCAAATTAGCCTAGTAATTTTCCAAAAAAAGGAAGAAAGGGCCGTCCCTTTGGGAATATCTGCACCCATCTGGGGACTGCGCTTGTTGGAGGGACAGACCCTCAACAGACCTTCAATAGACCCTCAACAGACCCTCAGTAGATTTCTTCCAACTACTTGCGCCTTTATTGGTAAATATTTTATCACATCACCACGTTCCTCTTTGGAAAATTGAGCCACATTTAATCAGTTAATTCAACCAAAAGGTAGGTCTAATTTAAAAATTAATTTAACAAACGGCTCGTAAGTGTTTCAGTGGGGGCAGATGGAATCGCATCTGTCCAACTTATTTCCTGCTGATAATGGTAGGGAGGGGTGGGGGGGGGGGGGATGGATCCAATACCAGCAAGACACCAATGGATTAGAGCTTAATCCCAGACAGTCTAGTTTGCCCCGTTCAGATTCAACACCCAGAACATAGAAGCATTCTTGTCCGAGGTTAAAAGGAGTACTCATCTGCCGAATGAGTGCGTCCACGTATGAAGCCTACCTAGTTGAGCACGTGTGGCGCTCAAGGAATGGACCCAAAGACGACCCAGCAGCACTTTGGAGGGACCTCGTTCTCGCACCCAGTAACTTTTGTCCCATATGAACGAAGGTATCGACGAAATCGACCGCTGACCATTTTTTCTAAAATTTCAGGAAACCTATGTGGTTTCTGTTACCTACTTCTCAGTGAGTATGAACGAATATTAATACAGTCGAACTCGGTTATAACGTCATCGAAGGGACCAGGTAAAAACCGTCGTTATAACCGAGGTTGCCTTTATTGGCACTCCGTTTTCCTGTTTTCAAAATTGTTGCTATATAACGTTACAACTTCAGTTTACATTGGCCATACTGCACTAGCTTCAGTTTCAAGATTGACCCGCTAATTGTGATGTTCGCACTTCTTTGGATCTTGAACTACTTTATACTTTAGCAAGGCTTCGTCGATGTCATCTCGACAGACCTAGGAAGTTTCTTGTTTTGTGACATGTTCTCATAAGCACGGATGAAGTTCTCACGATTTTCCCAAATTGTGGAAACAGATGAACAGATGTCCATGTTCGCGAGCGACGTTAGCTTCACTTCGAGTTCTTTCTATTAAACTAATCAAGCACACTTTCCTTTCAATCGTGGAGGCTTGCCTCTTTCGTTTTTCTTTGGCCATGTTGTCAACGAGAAATGCAAATGGCGACTGAAGATAAGGCGATCTTAGTTACTGGGGATTATCCCTCCCTGACATTGCTCCACCCACACCCACATGACTCTCAAGAAATGCCGAATTCAGGAAATGTAAAGTTATGGCTCGCCAATGCTAATTTTTCCGATGACGGAAATTTCAGCTAAGAATGACGGATTAGGGACATGAACGTTGTCGATTTCCTCTGTGGGACCTTCAATGGACTTCGTTATAACCGAGGTTTCGCTATAACCGAGTTCGACTGTAGTTCTTTCTGAAAAGTAAAGAAAAGCATTCTAGTCCGAGTCCTCTTTTGGCATCTCAGCTGGGGGAACCTACAGTGTGACACAAAAGTCACTTGACAAATGAGAAAAAACCCTTTTGCCTAAAATCTTTATTTCTGAACTAGCGGAGATGCTCAGTGTTCTCCGTGAACCGCAATGCAGTGCTCCAAACGATTCTTTAGTTCATTTCTGACGGCTGCTAGTGTTGCTGGTGTGACTTGCAGAATTTGAAGATTTGAAGAACATGAGTGATGCGGTCTTTGAGGGATGCAGGTTCCGTCATAAAAACATGCTGTTTAACATAGCCCCAGAGGAAGAAATCCGGGGGAGTGAGGTCAGGTGATCGAGGGGGCCATGACACAGGTCCACCCCGTCCAATCCACTGATTAGCAAGCAGGTTATTCAGTGTCTGACGGATCATGAGAGCAAAGTGGGGAGTAGCACCGTCCAGTTGGAACCACATTTTGCGCCGTGTATTCGGTGGCAAATCATGAAGAAAATCAGCTACAGTTGTGTCCAACACTTGCCCAAATGTGTGTTGGTCCACATGCCCTTCGAAGAAGTGTGGTCCCACAACCATGTCACCATGCAGACCACACCACACCATCACCTTCTCGGCACCACGTTTGTTCGATTGGTGCCGAAAAGTTCATGACAGCGAATTGTAACGCGTATTTAGTGAATACCTACGAAGCAAAAACAAAGATTTTGGACAGTTTTTTTTTTCTTCTCATTTGTCAAGTGACTTTTGTGTCATACTAGATTGCCGGAGAAGAGGATTATGTTCCTTCCCTCCCCTCCTCCCCCCTCCTTCCCCCTCATTTGCTTTGGAGGAGTCCATCCCATCCCCGTTGATATTTAAAAAATGCCCAAGTAATGAGTAATGCGGTTTTATTTAATGAGTAATAAGTAGCGAGATTTTATGCAAAAAAAAATTCTCTAGAAATGGGGCCGGGGAACAAGCCGGTTCCATGAGAGAGTTTCCAGAAAAGCCTTTGATGAGAAAGTGGTCTAGATAAAGTGCTACTAAAGATTGATGGCATGGGTTCTACCGATCGCAAGCGGGGTAGTGGCTAGAGTTGCTGGCCAGAACGGGAAAGAACAGTGGCTGAAATGCTTCTCCTTCGGGAAGGTAAACCAGGAACTCACGAGGTACCAAGAGTCCCACTTGAACGAGATACAGGGATCTCTCACAATTATATGTTGCAAATAGGAAATAGAGTGAGTTAGAATTGCTACAAAAGATTGGAAGTGCATCAGCTCGAAGAACTGACAAAGAGAGACAGTCTCGTTTGACAACCTCTGGATAGTTATATACTACACAGTTTATCTGATGTGTTCACTTAGAATGAATCAATCTCATCATTTTCCTTTTTTATTTTATTTTCAGTCGATGCACTTCAATTCTTTTGTCATTCAAACCATGATCTCGCTTTGTTATTCGCCGTGCGGAAATGTGAGAGGTCCCAGTTTCTCGTTCAATTTCTCTTGGTGTTCTCTCAACTATAACTTTTTTTTCTCATTTGGGCGCCTCTGTTCTGAAGCCTTTCCCCCTCTGAAGCCTTTCCCCCTCTCTGGGATATTCCGAAAGAAAAGACACAAATGCATGAAGGGCATGAGCAAGAACTTGCCACTGACGAAGATCCTCTTCATCTCCTGGCTTCCATGGGCTTCTATTCTCCGTGAAAACTCCTTGAAATCTGTCAAAAAGCCACCGATGTCCTGTTGGTGTCTGTGACCTCGGAGACATCACATCTGACTTGAGACTGTGATGGCGGATCAGTTGACCCACGTGGAAGAAAGAAGCAACACCGATTCATGTCAACTTTCCTGGGTACCGACAGGTTGACCAATGATAGACCTCGAGGGAGACCCTCATAGAAAGGAGGAAGCAGCATTGGTTGATTTTGATGACGTATCGGAAAGAAGGACTGACTGAGTATGACGATACTCATGTGGTGAAGAGAAAAGGAGAAAGAAAGCCCAGTGACTTGCGGTGGTCATGTAAATGAGATGGGGTATCGACAGGAAAAAACATCAAGGACTCTCCAGCTTGGATGTGCAGAATGGGACCCAGGATCAGGGGAAGAAACCAAGAGACCTTTCGTCAATTTATTGTTGCTCAGAAAAGCACCCATAAGGATTTCATGAATGAAATGTTGAACCAGAACTCCTATTGGAGTACAAAAATATAGAAGAAAATTTTAAGGTCGTAGGATGAGGTGATACAGAGAAAACTTGTGGAACGTCTGAAGAATAAAGATGGTGGCTTCACTGAATACGCCAGGCTCTTATGCTTCTTCCTCCTTATCCTTCTTGAAATCCTTATTTAATACCCCTGAGTATTTTATTTTATTTTTATTTTGTTTACTGTCCCTGTTTTCATTTCCATAATCGCACGAAAGCCCATTCTAAGAATGCTTCCTTGCAGTTGTTCCTTTTCCGTGCATAGGCCAACATGCTTTCAATATGTCCAGTCGTCGTGTTGAAATTTGAGACGACGGTGAGTTCTCGCTGGAACTTATAGTCCACTTACGATCCTCATTTAGGTGCTGGTGAATCGGGAAAGAGCACCATAGTGAAACAGATGAGAATCCTTCATGTTAACGGTTTCAGCGAAGAGTGAGTCTTGTGTCTCTGGTCATATTAGTGTGAAGTGCGAGATTTTCGTTATCAGTGCTGTTCTATCCCCCTCATATTCGAAATTCTTTACAGAGAGAAACTGCAGAAGGTGGAAGACATCAGGAAGAATGTTCGCGATGCCATAGTGGTGGGTTTTTCCTCCCCTCATCGCGTTGTTGGTGAAACATCCTAGTTCCCTAGTTGACCGTGAGCTCTGTCTGGATATCTTTTCAATGCAAGGATCTTCTTCTGCACAGACCATAACCGGGAACATGACAGTCCTGAATCCTCCTGTGGCCTTGGAACATCCAGAGAATCAATGGCGGGTGGACTATCTCCAAATCGTCGCCTCTCAGCCGGATTTTAATTATCCTCCTGTGAGTTCTCCATGCTCAAAGAGTTAACATTCTCTTGGAACAATGTTGGTGCAGAATGATCTGGTAGTTTTGCGTTCCAGGAATTTTTTGAACACTGCAAGATCCTATGGGAGGATGGAGGTGTTCGTGCTTGTTACGAGAGGTCAAATGAGTATCACCTCATCGATAGTGCTGAATAGTGAGTCTCAGTCTCGTTTATCTCCTCCTATCAAAATTTCATCGAATGTATTTATACGTATTATTTTATTGTACTGTAATCTCGACCTCCTTTACTGCAGAAACTTAAAGGAGCTTATTTTCTCCTTTTATTCTCCCCATATGCAGCTTCTTGAACGAGGTCTCAATCATTCAGGATCCCAACTATATGCCCACTGAGCAGGTTCGTATTTTTTTTTTTTTAGCGAGTTGCGTTCCTGCATTTCATACTCGATTAAACGCAAAAAAAAAACGAACAGTTAGACTGAAAAAAGCATCGGATTTACTTCGCCAGGATATCCTGAGGTGTCGGGTCATAACGTCGGGGATCGTGGAAACCAAATTCTCCGTCGATAAAATCCAATTCCAGTAAGCGTCTTCATTGTCGTTCGTCTTCACCTTTGCTTGATGAGGAAGCAGCAGCTGACTTATACATTCCTTTCACAGTATGTTTGACGTGGGCGGGCAACGCGGAGAAAGGAGGAAGTGGATTCAATGCTTCAATGAAGTGACAGCTATCATTTTTGTCACCGCCTGTTCTTCTTATAACATGGTTCTCAGAGAGGATCCCAGTCAAAACAGGTTGAAGGAATCCATAGAGCTCTTCACAAGCATCTGGAACAACAGGTACGATACGTATCGGTATGTCGAAAACTTCTATTTGTACGGCTTCGGCACCGAATGATTCATAAGTTTTATGTCACTATTCTCACGTTTACAAGAAGAGAAACGTACGCCCATAAAGATTGAAAAACTGAAAAAAGCACCTACTTCCTTAATTCCTGAGAAGCTCAAAATACTTAGTTTTCAACAATGCACAGCTGGCATGTGTACAGGACCGAACGACACAATTTCTACGACAATTTTTTGGGAATGGTGCTGACTTCAGCATGGATCATTCTTAACAATTCCTCGCTGTTTGTTGGTTTCCTAGCATGCAAAGCACACTCCAAAGAAGGAAGTTCAAGGGGACGATTTCAGGTGACCTTGATTCAAGTCAACCCTTGATTGACTGCAGAATTCACCATCCAGGAGCAAACGTACTCGCTTGGCATGATATAATGGGGCATCATCCAGCTCAAAAATCATGTCATGTTCCTCTTCTGTAATATATAGCAACACTACATTGTTCAGAGTCAGAATTTGGTATTGGTACTTTGTCGGGAAAAGAGTACTCTTTTCAATGGTGCAATTTATTTCCATGTGGGCCGAATTTTTCCTCTCTGAAAACATAAATATGGTCAAAACAAACGTATACTGTACCCTGTACCCTGTATTACCCTGTACTGTAGTGTCAGTTTGAGCGTCTTGGTTCTCTCAGGTGGCTGCGGACGATTTCCACGATTTTGTTCCTGAACAAGCAGGACATACTCATGGAGAAGGTCGCAGCACGGAAGTCTCCAATAGAAGACTGGTTTCCAGATTTTGCCTCGTACCATATCCCGCACGATACCAAGGTCGAGGAGGGCGAAACGCCTCAATTCGTCCGCGCCAAGTATTTCATCCGCGATGAATTTCTGGTATGAGATCCTTCCATTTCTCCTTTTCTACTATATTTCTTTTCCGGATCCTGCTCACTGTACTATGTAATTCCCTGCCTTGAATCTATATTGCCCCGGGAGTGAGTCACTTGTTCTTCTCCTTAAGCTACAACTTACCATGAAATAAGATAAATTCTCCCAGTCACAGGTGGGCCTAAGCCCTTAAAAGCGTAAATGACGAGACAGGAGGCAGTCGTTACTATCCCATATGGATTGAGCCGAGGAGACTCGATAGCAACTCTGCTGCTGATGCTGTGCCGTGTGCTGTGCTCTTAAATGTCGACCGCATCGAAATGTCTGCAGAGAAAATCTTCACACGAAGACATTCCTCGTCCTGATACTTCCTCTCATTCCTAGAATATACCGTTATCAAGAACAGCTCGCTTCGCTTAGAGATGTTTGTTTCGCACTTTCGTTTTCAAGACCACCCATCCACCCAATGGGATCTCGGTTGAAGCAAGTCCAGAACTGTCCTCCAAAGTTCTCGTTCCTGGGAAACTGATACGCTCAGTCAGTCAAATGCCGAGCCGCGTGTGACAGAGCTTCACAACGTAGTCGTTCCACCTAGTTACAAAGCCGACTTACTGTTCATCTCCCTGTCACCTTGGACTGAGGAACTCCTGAGATCTCAGGGAGAATGTGAGAAACGTGTCGGAACCACCGGCTAGGGATCTCTCGATCTGGAGAAGTACCCGCTGGACTTGATGTTCTCTCGGATGCCAGCATCTTCCGTCTTTCCACAGCGCATGAGACCGACCACCCGATGCATGAATCTCATTTAGGTATATTGTATCCACGATCTGATTCTTTCGGTCATCACCAAAAAGTTCATGGCGGTTGGTGAGGGTGAGGAGATAAACGCTCTCAAAAACCGAGAATCTATAGATTTTCGGTTTTCAAGAGCGTTTATATATGGCCAACTATGACCTGTCGAACCGATACAATGCGCTCTGAACCTCCCGTCTGAACTGGACCAGAACAGCAATATCGGTGAAGAAGTTCATCTACCTCGACACTACCGATATTGAACCCTTCCAGACCTTGGTGGCGCCTTACAGATCCTGCCGATGTACACGAGGGCAGGTACCCTTAGGAGAGAACGCGATTCTGTTAGAGCCCAGCGGCTTTGAGTCATCCCGCTCACTAGAAAGCAACTCCTGCAATAAAGACTGAATGGCCCGCAATAACGGTGCGCTTCGGAATGTCGAAAGAAGAAATGTCGATAAGGAAGTAACCGACGGGGGAAAGGTCGTTGGAGACAATGTAAAAATACGGCAATGTCGAAAGGAGAAAAGGCAGATGGAGAAAATGTCGCAAGGAACTTTTATTGCACTCATTGGTCGGAGCACACGAAGTCAACGTTTTCCAGAGCAACATGGAAAGCAATCAGGTCAAAATAATGATAGCCAAATTTGACCATCGATGCAGCCGGTCATTGGCATTCCGATCATTGTAGGCCAAGGTCGGAGAAGTTGGGACTTGAGAACAGAAGCCAGACGATGTACAAGGGAAGAACGAACACGTCACACACGGCATTTGCATAGACACCCTGCAATGCCTTTATCAAGGGACTCGCTGTCCCATTTAAAGGGTTACATTATCTGCTAGGACATTGCCAAGCTTCTTGACAAGACTTCATGAAGGAGATGAAGCAGACAAGGTGAAAGTGGTCTGATGGATTTCCAGTCAACCGACTTTCAACACATTCGACATGATTTGACAATTCCTCATCGTCGTTATTTTAGAATCCTGGCTTCATTCCATTCGGCATTATACATTTTATGCCTTTCGACATTTACTTTTCTGCGTTACCGCATTCGACAATCTGACGTACACCCCTTCCCTTTCACTCTATTCTCACCGTGCTAAAACACCTCGAATAAGATAAATCAGAGTCCGCTGTCATCTATTTTATCTGGTATGGTACCCGATTTGTGTGTGTGGTTGCTGATACACAGTTCCAGTCTGTTGTTGTCAACCCCCCGAGCCAGATGTGCCTGTGCATACGCTTGAGGTGGAAGAAGATGTTGGTGATGGTAAGGCTATTGCCAGCACGAATTCTAGCAACTTTTTACCATTCCCGCCTAGTGTAGCTACTCAAAGCCGATCGCTCACTTCACTCTGGTAGCTTCATTTTTTCCAACTTACGCATTGAAGCCCCCATCGGTAGAACAAGATTGCCGTTCGATATCCTTTCTCGGGTTCCATGCACCTCTTCGAGATTCAGATATTCGTAGTTCGACTCGCTGTTCGACCCATAGGCCTGAACGACAGCCAGGTTTGGTCCAATTTGAGGCGGATGAGAGCGATCCATTTGCTGATCGGTTTCCGTCCGATCACGCTCTCAAAAGCCGGATACTTAGGAGTATCCCCACTCCCGCCTGGGTAAACAAGGTGAGATCGACTCCATTCCATTAAGGGAACTATCCGGAATCTAGGTCACTTTTCTCCATGTTAGGCCGACGACATCTTGTCGCCCGCCGCCTCTTCTAGTAGTTATGGATCTTTACCATCGAGTGCCAGCACGTTCCAAGTCCCGATAGCCAAAGTCCGTTACCTAGGTCGTTTAACCCTTGATTATACTTCTGGTCTACTGGTCTGAAGACAGTGCGGAAATAGGGACGTGTCCAAGGGGGGAGGGGGGGGGGGGGGTTTGGGAATTTCAAACTCCCCCAATGGCAATTGATGTCATCCCTCAAACTATAGTATGAGAGCTGGCGACTCAAGTATACTTGAGTCGCCAACTCCTCACTGTACTCAACAAATTCCATGGCCACTCATTCCTCAAGAGAATATCAGAGATATTCTTATTTGTGTCGAGGGTATACTGGGCGCATTCAGTTGAGACTCGGGTCACGACTCGAGGGTTCAACGTTTGAATTATGGCTTCAAAAGGCTATTGTGACACCTCTTGTCAAGGTCATCAATCCGGGCATAAATGGTTCTTGAAAAAAACCCAGAGCCTGCCGGAAACCACGAACCTCGAGTCATTACCTGGGACACAACTGAGTGCGGCCACTTTAGCCACCCTCTATATAGTGTAAGCCGACCGATAAGCGTAGATGCAGCACGCAAGGATCCAACGCACTCTGGAACTTAAAATTACTCGGCCCCGGTAGCCAACGTATCAATAGTCACCCCGGAAGCACAATGATTATTGCAGTCCTAATTATCCTGAACGGAGACCGATCCAGTATGGTACTCCCGAGCCGAACTCATCGTGCATGTTCGTCTCGCTCACCCTGAGCACTAAGCCAGTGTCATTTTAGGACCTGGGATAACATGACCCTCCGTATGACTGTGGTCCATCCTCGTGACGTGGACGTACGTATCATCGAGGACACTTTGCTGAGAGATATCCAGACCATCTGCTCGACGGTGGGTTGGATATTAAGGAAACCAACTTGAAATGAAGGAAACATTTCAGGTTTCTCGCAGCTCAGGTTTTCTTCGCGTGCAAAATTGCGGGAGAAAATTGCAAGGAGTTCAAATTACTCGTCCATTCCGACATGCCTTGTGTTAGGAGGTGCGGAGGCAGTTTTTTGCCTCCTTGGTCTTGCACGAATATTTTCTCAGTTTGAAAAGTGAAGTTGCACAGCACTCATCTTTTAGTCCTAAGTTTATTCCGCTTCAGATACACCATCCCCATAGTATTTTCTGGGGATGGTGCAAGAGAAATGTAAAGCCTGCTTTTAAATTCTCGTTTATGTAACGCTTAATGTGCTATACCGTAGCTGTGAAATGCTTCGTATGTAGTGCCTTTCTTCTAGGAAAATATCAGGGTAATTATTTGAAATGCAAAATATAAAATGTCCAGTCATAACATTTTAAATATGCCCAACACTCCATTGTGAATATTTCGAATACAAAATGCAATATGGTAACTCAAGCACTGCAGAGAGAAACACTATTCCATTTCTGAGATTTTTAATTCGAAATAAAGCCTTTACTTCATCCCGGAAAATCGCACGTAGAAGAATTTTGGAAGAAGTCAAGAAGTCCTTTTTTTCAGTCAGAATGCAGCCTGTTGGCAGTCTCGAGTCGGCAGTTTGTCTTAACAAAACTAGGTTGTTAGATGGACTATCGCGTTGCTGGCTGCAGCATTCCAGCCACCCACATCTTCACTCAAAACTACACCCATTCTCTTCAGCTGGGGGACAAAAAAAAATTATTATGCGCCAGACGCTGTAAGACACCAGGTGTAAACAGACTCTCAGTCCATGATCCCAATCTCCCATCTGACGCTCTTTCCGTATTTTTTTACAACCATTTCAAGTAACCTCCTGAATCAATTTCACCATTTGAAATTCAAAATAGAAATATCATATACTCTGAGGGAGTACTTGAAATACAAAATAGATAATGTGAGAGCGTTAGAAATGCAAAATGGTATCTTGTATTTCAAGTACTTTACATTTCAAATCATCTTTGATACTGCCTATATAAGCAAGATGGAAAATACTGAGAATCAAGTTGCGAATAACTATTCAGGAGAGCTGAAGAGAATCTTGGGGAGGGAAATGGAAAGGGGGCAGGGATCATTTTCGCCGAGGAACGAAACATTTCTGAGCATGCTCAGTTGACTGATTCTCTAAACTAAATTCAATAAAATATTGGGATTTTTGTCCGGCATCCAACTCTAAGAATAAGTCTCACGTTTCGTTTCTATTACGTGTGGCGCTGGTGAGGCCTCATTTAGGGTATTGTGTTCGGTTTTGGAGGCATCCAGTTTAGGGGATTCATGGAACTGAAGAAGGTTCATAAGCTAGCTGTTAAGAATTGTCCTGGGACAATGGGAATCAGCTACAAAACCTACTGTGCCGGGTGGGCCATAAGTCAGGACACCCCTTGATAATTTGTACACTGATGTATGGCATGTTTTTTGGGTGGCTGCATCTATTGAATGATTAAATTATGGCTGATACACGTTCATACAGTATTGAAGAACACATTGTTGCAAGTGTCTGGGTACGCGAACGACAGAT